TATAGTTGGTACATTTGTTTACATTGCACCATACTATAAATGTCTACATTGAATATCCTAATTATGGACTTGGAATGTCAAGTATAGACTTCTAACTGTACAGAAAAGAGCAATGTATATTGTTCGATATCTACCTGACAGCTGTAATAAGCCACACATTATCTCGATCATTAATTGTTTTAGAAATTTGTTAAAGTAAAGTTATCCTTGAATATTCTGGGATTTTGTGTATTTTATCAACATCTGTAATAAACACTAAATAGCACAATACAGTAAATAGAAAAGCTTTTGATTTAAGTGCTTTAAGTGTGAGATCTCCGATTCATTTTCCCCCCATTTTTTTCACTCGTGTTTTCAGAGGACTTTTTTCACAAAGCCAAGAAATTCACCTGACATCTATTACACTAATTGTAATTATCATTGTAATTTATTCCACTAAAGAAAGCAATTTATAACACAGGTTGGACTTTTACAGACGCACATGGGAAATCTATTCAAGATAATTAGACATTTTCAATACTTAGTTTTAAGCATGTCATTCATATTTTTATGAACATTCACTAATATACATTAATTGCATTATTGCAATATTGTATTAATTGCATTAATACAATCCAATTCAAACATCAATCAATCTCATCAGCAGAGCTCAGGTTCATACTTTCAAGAAAATTCTATTTTGTTTATCTAAGAGTGCAACTGAGACTCCATTATTATAACCCTTTAAAACCTTCCTTAGCTGACAGAATATTGAACACGTTGTGTAAATAAATCTGCTATGGTTGAAAAGTTCTCTTTATGTCTTTATAAAGCCAAGACCTTCTCATAAATATTGTGTTTCTTGGATAATACAACACAAGACTTAGCCCTATTTTGGCTTTTTACCAATCAGATGACCGTGCTTTTGGAACCAAAGTATTAGACTTATTAATGAAGCACAAAAGACAGTGGAGTGATCCAGATTTCACTTCAGGCGAAAGGTCACTCAAGCATGCACCTTGATCCCCTCGTGTTTACTTTGCAGGTAAAATTAGAGGGAAGCATTACTGATGATTATACCCCTCCTGACAGAATAATTATACCTCAGCTAAAGTGTTTTGTTTGTTTGCATAGCTTTATAACTTACTGCATTATTCTGCTATTATTCAAATGTCTATGGCAGGTCTTCCCTATTCTGGTCCTAGTAACCCCAGTGTCTGACGTTTTTCATTCCTACTTAATTGAGCCCTTTATTGAACTAATAATTTGATTAATTGCAACTATTTTATTGCTTACAGCTATTAATTTGCTAGGAATTTCAAGGCAACAAATAGATTTTATCTAGCAATAATCAGAAAATGATTTATTGCTATTTAGGGTTGCAGCATTCTTTTACAAGCAACCTGAACATTTGCAGTTGAAAATAAACTATTATTAGTTCATTGACAGGTTTCATAAGTAGTTGACAGTTCATCTGGATTCCGAACCATCAGATATCAGGGTCACTAGGACAAGTGGTGGAACTGTTGGAGGTCTGCACAAGGAAAAAAAACATATTAATGTCAGTGTAAAACGTATAAGACAGTCATTTATGAGATTTAAAAAAGACATTATGAATTACATTTATGTAATTATACCCCTTGAAAAGTATACATTTAGTAATTAAAGAATACAGGTTAAAGGTAAGAAACAAAACCTGAACAATGCCATTCCCTGGCTATGTCATAAATATGCTTATAGATTTAGTACAACAAGAGAAATATATTACTTGTAAAAACTGTCAATCAGGGTTTCACAACCCACAGTACATTTACTCCAGTTTTGAAAATATTGCTCAGGCCTAACTTTTAACGGTGACAGATATGGTTTAAGGCAAATTTTAGGTTATATGCAAAGAGAGCCCCTAATTACAGCTTTCATTACAAGACGTCTTTCAGAATTTTGGTCATAATAATTTTTTCAATCTGTTCAGTCTAGAGCTATAATTACTGAGCAAAAAAAACAGTAACACTGCAGTCATTAATTTCACATGGAAAAATGCACATGCACTGCACTGATGCTGAAAGACTAATTGACATTGGGAAACATTTAAGGCACCAAGAAAGCAAAGGTGCCCCATGGCTTGTTGAAGTGCTTTACAGTTGTGAGAGCTTGTCTGAATGTGCATTACAGTTCGTTCTTATAAATACAGTACATGCTGTATTATTTTTAATCCTACAGTATATACTACAATAACCACACCCTTGAAAAAGATGTATTTTGGTGCATATTACCAAGAGCAAAGAGAGAACAGCAAAGTGATAAGGGATCTGATGGTCACTCCAATGCACCATGAAATGAGAGGTTTAGAAATTGCTTGGAAATCTGCCAGTACTGCTTACAGGAACTGCTGGAATTAGTATTTGCCCTCAGCAGTGAAATGCTGTAGTCCATAGTTGGATTTACTCCACTGGACAGGAGCTCGTTCAAAATTTCAAAAGGTGTTGGTTGGTGGCCAATTCAACAAATTCTTCACCAAAGAAATGTGGCCCATGTTTTTTTACTATGTTTTTAATTGTTTTGATTAACCCCCTTGCCCTTTCCAAGACTGAGGAGTTGTGCTACATAAGATGACATCGTCCTAAGCCTGGACCTTTTCAATTTGCTTATTCCGGCTGAAAATTGTCCTGTTTGGCAGTCCAGTGCCATCCGTGTGAAATTTCTCCTTTCCCACGTTCTTGGACGGCCTGTGTGGAGAAACTGCATTTTTACCATTGTGTTTGCAGGAGTCACTGACTTGTGTGTACAGCAATTGGAAAGACTAATTTCAGTTCAGGATTAAGATCAAGTGGTTTTTGATTGTAGAAAGATAACATAGAGAGTATAGCTTGAGGGCTCACCTCAATTGCTTGTGTTATTGTAATTACAATCTGAAGCCACCATTAAATTATTGAATTTAGTCTTTTAAGTTTATTACTAATAATTCTACAAGCACTCCCTAATTTTATTTTTGCTGTTTCTGATTGGTCCAATTGCTCTCTTTATCACCCTGCTCCCTTCTACCATATGTTCAGTCTTCACCCACATCTTCAGCCACCCTCTCTCCTCCTGTCTTACTAGCCTACTGCTGATTGTTTCTCTCTGCTAGTCCATCCTACTGTGCTTAAATTCTTCTATCCTCATGCCCTTTGTAGTTATACATGAACATCAGGACTCTGCTGATCACCTTCTGTGATCAGAATGCTCCTGCTTAGATTTAGTTTGCAGCTTCTCTTTTCTATTGAGATCAGTTAAGCATAACTGTGCATAAAGATTTGACTGAATAAGTAATGTTATTTTATGAACAGTAACATAAAAACATACGAATGATTACATACAAGAGGAAACCGTTTAGTCCATTAGTAACTAATTGATTCATGGATCTCATCCAGCTGTTTCTTGAAGGACGCCAGGATGTCAGCTTCATCAGCATGACTGGGCTGCTTGTTCCATACTCCCTCATCCTGAGTTTAGTAGCGTTGAGAGCAGTTGTATAGTCATTATTCTTTTGCGAGGCTGTGACAGTATCACTGGGCAACAGGTTTACTGGGAGGATTTATGACTCGGGAATGAAAACTAAATCGTAGGTAGGCCCTGTAAGCAATGGTTAGGTTTTCATCACCCCATTCTCCAGAGAGTAGCTTCAGTGAACAACATGTGGATTTGTCACGGATTATCAATCAAAAAAACCACAGGGATTGCTTCCTAACAGCTGGCTTTCAGGTTACACAGGTGTTTGTGCCTTTTAAGGATTAGCTGGTAGCTATTCAAGATGAAATACAGTTCATGCCACATGATAAAAAGCAGTTAATTTAGTATACAAATACAATTACTTTAAAAGCTACTATTTGGACTAAAGTGTTATCCACACCTTAAAGATAAAAATGACACTATATGAAATAATGGGAATTGTATATAGGCTTGAAGCAAGGGTTTGGACAAAGATGTTTAGGAATACCAAGTTTGTGCAGGTGTATAACATCATCCATAAAATACATTCCCAAATATATTTCAGGCCTTACTTATTTGTGCTGTTTTAAACTCACATTTCCATAGTCTCAGTTTCGTTTCATTATACTGTATTTCTACCACTGTCAAAATATCCCAAACCACGTTTTTAATCAAACATGAAATAGGGTCAAAGTTCCTTGGAGTCACTTCAGCCATCATTTAAGGATCAAAATGAGGTTTGTGTCTTTCAATCAGTTCAAGCTGATGGTACCAGTTTTATTAGGATATACTGTATTCAAACATGTAGGGCATTGGATAATTCAGGGATAGGCAACCAAGTTCCTGGATAGCTACAGTCCAGCAGGTCTTACTGAGAGATGAGCTTGATTATTAGGTATAAAGTATTCCCTTAAAGTGTTGCCCAAACCATTTGAGTACTTTCACCAATTCACACAAAAAGCCACAAGAAAATGAATAGGTTAACTCCGTGTGGCACTTGCAATAATGTTAGTGAGTTTTAAGTCTTTTCAAACACAGTTTTCAGTTCTTCTTGTTGGAGAAATGAATGCCTAAAAGGAAATCACCACACATTCAGACATTAGCTGCATTTTACACAAAGTTTATGCTCCTCTTATGATAACTGAATGTGCATGATGGAAAAAGTCAAAATGTATATAGCGGAATAAACTGACATAATCTAAATACAAGAGTGAATGGAGGTATTTACCTGAAATGTTTCCATGCTTCTTGTGTTTTCCTTTAGCTCTTTTCTAAAACTGGATGCAATTTTGTAATGTAATCATGTTGTATATTAATTCTGTAGTGGATTAAATGTGGTCATTTTGATCCATCTGCTTTGACAGAAAAGTATTATGATTTTTGTTTAATTTGTGGTATTGTTTGTTTCCTTCTGTGGCATGAGACTTTTAAACATGAATGTATGAAATACTAGATGATCTCTGTCAGGTCAGGCAGTGCCCTTGTTGTGCATTGCATGTTAGCTCTGGTTTTTCATGCTCATTCTTGCGTTTCCTCCTTTGTTCCATGTGCAGCGACCCCGTGCAGCTCCAGCTACTCCACAACCAAGTCCTGCTTGAGCAACAGCAAGAGAGCGTCACCCCGCGCCATCTGGAGTCTGCGTCCCACCCCGCCCCAGCCTTCCCCGAGCCCCCGGCCAACATGAACGTCATCAATTCCACACACCTGCCCCTCCAACAGTCAGCCCCCTCCGCCAACACAAACCTGCCTCAGACCTTCAACTACGCCCGGCCCAAGCAGTTCATTGCCGCTCAGACCCTCCCTCCTGGCAGGGGCTTTTCCCCGACGGAGTCCCCCGTCCCCATGCTGAACGCCATGGCCCAGGCTACCCAAGCGGCTCCAAAACCCCCAGCCGAAGATGTTTTTGCTCCAGCCCCTGCCACCCCTCCCCATTTCCAGCCATCTCCATGGCTGTTCCAAACCAGGGTCTTGCAATCGCCCACCAGTCCCACTGGACCTATGGCATCACCTCCCCCCCTTTACTCTGCTTTCGCCATTCGTGCTCAGTCCCCCCCCCATGCCCCCTCCCCGACTCCCAGCAGCTCCACTCCCAGCCCCATTCAGAATCCAGTGGCCTTCCTCAGCTCCGTCCTGCCATCGCTGCCCACCTCTCCACCAACTAACGCCATGGGCCTGCCAAGGAGTGCCCCTGCAGCGTGAGTGCCACAGTGTCACAGATTGAAGGGCCGAGATTGACGGGGCTCCTTCCAGTCTGAGATGTCTGCATGGCACCCTGTATTGTCCTGTACAGACCCATCTCTCACCCTCTTACTTAATCTCAGTTAAAGTTAAAACAATTAAAACCCAAAAAATAAAACCATCTTATTTAGAGAAATTATATATAAAGAAATGTTTTTCCACACGATGGAAATTTTGATTTTGATTTTGATGTCAATTTTGAGATGACAAGCTATTTCTGTCATCTCTGGAGCAGATTTAACTCATTTTAAATGTGTCCATTTATATTTAAATATTGAGCGTGTAGTTTAAAGTGGATTTTCACTGTATGTAAACAACTGCTTTCAAATTAAGAGAGAAAAGAATATGTTAGAAAACTAATTTTTAAATGTAACACAAAAGGGATTAAAATTATCTACCTATCCTTTAATGAGAAGTGGTAGAGTAAATTCAACAAATATATCATTTGGGGACTGTTTCTCCTTTTCACGCATTGTTGCGGATAAATATTTGACAGCATCTTGAAACCTTCTGCATTATTTCACTTGAATTGGAACACTATTTAATGTTTATTTTTATATTTTATGTTATCAAAGGGTTTTTTTTATCAGCCAAGCACATGCAAATATTTAAATAGCGCTGAAACGTACAGTACCACACATTAAATTGTATGACAGTGTTCGTTTTAGTCAGATTGTGTGTACAAAACATTAATGGCTGCAGTTTGTCCATCAACAACTTTTTCTGTTGATATCCTAGGTCTCCACAAGGTATACTAAAGAAGAATCCAAAGTCCCCTCGCTCGGTATCAGATGACGAAATACGGGACACCAAAGATGCAGTCCTACATGACCTGGAGAAAAAACTACGGTTTAAAGATGATGCAGCACAAAATGGGCAACAGGTATTTACTGTTTCTGATTCCTGTCCACTGCTTTATCCTGGACTCACACAACATTCATATCCTTGGGCACTTTGTTCTTCATTTCAATCGAACCTGCTGAATCACCCCTTTCTCAAACCAAATAACTATTTTCTGTATCATTGATCATTGTGTATCACTAGAAATAATGTTGTTATAATAATTAAGCAGGAAGTACACCCAAAGCAGTTCACAAATATGAAATAAAGAAGAAGAAAATTCATATATGTACTGTACTGTATACTCTAAATCTCCCATACTCAAAATTTCTAAAATCTTAACGTACAGTAATTAACATGTAAAGCCATGATACCTGCTTACTGCATTTAATATGTGGGATGAAAAAATGCAAAAACGTTGGCTTCAGGTTGAATTAGCAAAGGGAAAAAAACTCTGCAGACTCTGAGGTCTGTTGGATTCCTGAACTGAGTCCAGGTGTCTGGGAAATTCATGCTTGTAGGCACGAAGTATTATGGATATCCTGGTGTATCCCAGGTCCTTATCAAGTTCTCTGATAGACTTCAAAAGAACCACAAAAATGCTTTAATTGACTGTGAAGTTAGAAATGCATGCAGACATATTCTGGCAAAAAACAAAGGTTAAAATATTGTTTCCTTTCCAGGTGTGCATTCCGTGTTCACTTGAAAGAGGGTGCGAGTTTGGTGTATTTTTGGCATTGCTTTCTTTATATATAAATTGACATGTAAATGTAGAAGAACTGTTTTATAATGAACATTTTACACATCTATAAAAAGCCAATATGAAGGCAAGCCTTTTCAAATTCTTAAGCACAAAAGTTTGTTATCTTTCAGACTGTCTGCGAAAGAAGGCAGTGAGTATAAGAGTTTAGTTTTCTCTCATCTTGGGTATACTGTATAACCTACTTCTCGGTTCAGACCTTGACCAAGAAACTAGTACTGTAGGAACATTAATGTACAGGCTAATTTGTACTTTGTTTTCGGACTGACTCTAACAATAACACTGTAACAAACAGGGTAAACCCCAATATTTATGCCTACTCTCTGATAGAAGCTGACTTATGAGGCAAAAATGGCCCGCAGACTGCTTGGACCAAACAATGCTGCAACAGTCTTTAACTTTGATGAGGTACAAGAATGTTCTCCATCTCAGGTATTTTCCAAAATGTTTTCCCAACTATTATTCTCTTTGTCTGTATAAATCTTCTTTGACCCTGCACTAATCTGAGAACTGATTTACTTGATCTTGGCACCGTGCATTCATTTTCACCACAGAAAACTCTAATTCTTGCTACACGGATGTTTTCACTGACTTAAAGCGCTTGATCACAATAATTTGTATTGTAATAATGTATAATAATCTAATACACAGCATTTGCTTTTATTCAAATGCTAAATATAATTCTTTTACTTATATGACAGGTCAGCCAGTGGTTAGAATGTTCAGAAACAGATCATAATTTCCAAGTGCTATATGTTAATGGTGGGTCCCAATAAAAAAGTCTGTATTTTGATATTATAAGATGCTAGAGAACAGGAGACAGAAAATATTTTTTCTAAAAAGCACTACAGGCAAAATGATTGTGGTCTGTGGTCTTTGATATGCTGAAATATGTACTTGTACCATAAAACATATGGATATAGATGGACTTGGATAAATAGCTAAGTCCCATTTATATGGTTTAAATTGTCAGTCAGATGATTTCTACTCATTTGAGAAGCAGGCTGTGTGACATTAAGAATACACAGAAAGGTGTCCTGCAAGATGTGGATCATTGAGACACCCTAAAGCAGGGAAGAGACCAAGTGTTCTGGACTGTTTGGTAGTCTTAACATCTTGTTAGTGATACATGTACTCAAATACAAAAACATCTTACTTGTTTACAAATGCCATCAGAACTTGAGTAACACCCACAAAAATGGGAAATCGGGAACAAATTACTTTTTTGACACTAATACGTTTACAAATCTACATTAAACAAAATTTTTATCAAAATGCAAATTATCACCAGAAATCTTGTGAGTATAAAAATGACAGTGAAAACCATACAAGTGCACCCATTGCTCTTTACATTGGTTCCTATGTATTTACAGTATCATTTCTTAATTATTTAAAATAATATAACTTTGTCACGTCAGGTGTCTTACTGTAAAAAAAGAAAAAGATATAAAGACACTTTTTTAAACTGGCTTCAAGCCAGTTTCAACAGCAGTTACAATGCTCTTTTGAAAAGCTGAAAGTAGGTAGAAATAATCCCATTTATCACTGAGCTGGAAAGGGGAAAGTGCCAGTTTCGTATTTTCTCTACAACAGTATTGGGGCACAGCCAGGGGTATTTTGTCAAGCCATATGTTTATACCTTGAAGGAAAATCTTAAGACTAACCTAGTTGTGTAATGCAGTTATATTTAATTAAAATTCAATTATTGTTTGACAAAACCTGAAAGCTTCTTGAAAGTTCCCTACTTGATTGTGAGGAAAGGTGATATAAAGTGTACTTTTATCTGTTTATCAGAGTCTTATTTTAGGGTTTACACATGGTGTTTTATTAATATATTATATGGAAACCATTAGCAAAGACTTGTTCTGTGCTTTAATACAGGATTGTTAATCATGTTGAAAATGTCCTGTGAGATATAATCAAAATGTATATGCTAATAGGTAAATATTCTGTCGGTGTCCAAGTCAATCCACCATACTTGGTATGATTAATTCAAACCCTGAAACAAAAATGCTGTGAAAGTAGGCCTCTAAGTGAAGTATTACGTTTTCTCAAGTTTTATAAAAACATTTTAAGTTTTAAAATGATTGCAACAGGCATTTGCAAAAAAAAAGTGGTCCGTAAACCTCAAAAGCACGATGAAAACAAAATATTCCACCACCTGGTATGTGTTTTGTTTTTGGCAGTCTAGCTGTACATGGACCAAATGTAGTTGGGCTGTACTTTTTTAAACAGTCACATTAAAAGCTAGTCTTCTCTTAACATTTCATCACACTTTTGCATTTTCATCATTTTAAACTTGTTTTGTACTCTTGCAGGATCTTAAATATATGATAGAATCAACCCGCAACACACTTGGTAAACAGCAGGTTAAGTCCTAACCCTGATTATTATTTTTTAAATCTTTCTTCAGCTTTTGAGAAACTACATCTCTTTATCTCTGAATGTAGCACGGGAGTACAGCATCGTAGCAGACTGCATGGACAACAAACTATATTCTGGATACAGTCTGTTTCTATTTATCTTACAGCAAACTGCGATCTGGAATTTGTTCTTTTCCTATGGCTTCCTCTTACGTGCCTGCATATTAGCTCTGTACCTTGTTTGCATGGCAACTGCTCTGGCAGCTTGTGCTGATTCCTTCGAGCTGAGCTATTATTACAGTATGTGTTATTGCTGTCATGTATGAGCCTCACATACTGTAGTTTTCACAAGAGGACAGATTTTGTGGCACTGTAATGTTTTAGGTTGCTGGCAACAACAAAAGATCATAAAGAAATTGCTAGTCATAAGCAGTCAGTGAAGGAAGAAAAACTTGATTTTGTCAAAAGTTCTTTTGCCTTTTACATTTCTTAGTGTCCGTAAAGAAGTAAGTTTTTTTTTTCTCAGATGAGCCCAGTTTTAATACAATAAATGATCATGATGGCTAACTAAAAAGGGAACATATTTTAAAACTGGTATTTGTTCTTCCTTCCCATCCTACCACCAAATATGATTATGGTTTCCGTCACCTCCTGTTTCACAACAGCCACCATTTCCTGAATTTCTTCTCATAAAACGTACTTAATGGTGTATGTTACATAATTTCCAGTGTTCTAAAATGTACAAATTAGAAAAGAAACTGAATCTGTATTTTAAAGTACCAATTCCCTAAAGTACCTATTCAGATATATTTTAAAGCGTACATCCTTTCAATGTTTCATCTACAGTTCAATACCATATTTTACCAGTCTTACATATTACTCCATTAACAAGCTCAGGACACAATAGGATGTTGATAACAGCACAGTTTCATACAGTATGTGACTCTTTATAACAGTTAAATTATAGAAGCAGTTTTTGGGGAGAGAAAATATTAAAACACAAATGTATTCTTATCCTTAGAGGACTGAGCTTGAAGATATTGAAAGAAAGCAAACTATTTTTAAGACATTTATGATATTTGAAAGATGGGGATGTATTTATAAAGAAGTTCCAAAAACAATAGCCGTTTTACAGTGTCACATAGAACTCCAAGGATTCATTACCAGTCTCTTTTCAAAAAGAAAAAAAAACAGTTGAGTAGTTTACAATAAAATGTTTATATTTTCAGTACTTTCACGTACTTTCTAAATTTTACTTTTAACTTTTAAAGCCTTACACACCAACTCCTCACAACACAATACTACACCTCACAAACACTCCCATGTATCAAGCAATGTCTGTACTCTGCTGAGGCACATCTTTTAGCTGTACCTTCTTTTAGGTACGTACAGTACAAGCTTCTCAGGGCAAGCACTTTCAGCCGCCTCACTCCATAACCCTGGATCTCACTCTCTGCCACTCTGAGAAAAGTAAACTCTTTTAAAATCTACCGTCAAGACATATCTTTTTAGTTTGACTTTGAATTAATTAATGCCATTTCTTATGTTTAGTTATGCCATTTTTATGCATTTTATAAAAATAGTTTATGCCATTTTTCCATTTTCCATATTTTTATATCTCTATCTTTTTTCTGGTTAGTGTTATTTTGATTGTATTTCTCTTTTTTTTGTGTGTGTTTTTGTTTATACCCTGTAAAGTGGCCCAAACACTGTTTGCTGTACATGGGCATAAACACTGTTTGGTGTACACAAAATAAATCCTTGTAATCCTCATGAATTGCTGAGCACTAAACCATCATCAAATACATTAATGGTGAAGCATTGAGCAATCACATGAGGTAAGACTCAGGCATGACAGCATTTTCCATTTGCTAGGATTTTGCATAAATAAAACTCAGTTGAGTCCTAAACAGAACCCCCATTTCAAAACACAAAGCCATCATTTCATCTGGAATACCTTCTAAATGCATTCCTTGATTTCAAAAGCGAGCATTGGAAAAGCGCTAGATTCTAAATCACCAGTCGCCAAACAACCTTTCACACGCACGGCCGTTTTCACCTTTCCCTTGAGAGAAAAAATGACTTCATAATAATTGTACATAATAATAACCACTTTCATTTGGATAGAACAGCCTTATAAGAGCCAGTGTGTCTGCAAGTGTAGTGAACATTTAGCCAAAGCTTGCTACTTAATGTTTCTGTCATTGCTTTAGCATGCATCTTCCATCATGCCTCCTTCCGCAGTGAATTTTTGTTCTCCGGATTCATTGTCAAAGAACGTAGGATGTGTGACTGAACGGCAATTATGCTGGGCACTTTAGGGCAGATGTCAATTTCCTCTTCTTCCTACAGGAGTATAAGGTCTCTAGCTTTGAGCAGAGATTGATGAGTGAGATTGAGTTCCGACTGGAACGTACCCCAGTGGACGAATCCGATGACGAGATACAGCATGATGAAATTCCAACAGGCAAATGCATAGCACCTATTTTTGACAAGAAGCTGAAGCACTTCCGGGTCATGGAGGGAGCTTCTTTGTCCTTCACCTGTAAAGTGGTGGGGATACCTGTACCAAAGGCGAGTATCTCCACCACATTTCCACTGTGTTGAACCCATTTATGCAGACGACAATGCTTGTAGTAAGGCTTTTCAGAAGTTAATAATCAACAATATCTGAGCTGCATACAGCACTATGGTTTCTTGATTGTTTGTGAGGCAGCCTGTTCAACCATTTTTAAAACCTCTCCATTATTCCCATTAGGTTTACTGGTTTAAGGATGGCAAGCAAATATCGAAGAAAAATGAGCACTATAAGATGAAACGAGAAGGTGACGGCACCTGTGTTCTGCACATTGCAACTACCACTAATGATGACGATGGCAATTATACCATTATGGCTGCAAATCCACAGGTATCTCTAATTTCTTCACACAGTTTATTTACTGAAACATTTTAAATGAACAGTTTACTATGTTAAGCATCTCTAAAATGCTATATTAACGTTAAGGCCTTGTGGATTTTGATAATTGCAGCATGTTCCCCTTTATTCTCATGATCGTGTGGAAAGAATAGACAATATACCATACCTGTCTGTCATGATCTAAGTACTGAAGACACATTGCATTTTTTACAGTTGGGAAGCATAAAGATATATTTCTTCATGAAACTATTGGCCTACCAAGTTCTGAAAAACATTTTACGGTAATCAAAATAAACTACAAGATTTACAGTATTTAAATAATACATTTTTCTTTAAATCTACTTACTACTTACTAGCATGACAAAACAAAATTGTTCAAGTCACAGTTTTTCTGTTTTTTCCATTGTACTCCTTTTATTGCAACTTTGGGTCCTCCGCTGTTACCTTAATTTTGTGAATGTTCACATTCTGCAGGGAAGGATCAGCTGTTCTGGTCATTTGATTGTACAGACTGGTCCAGTGCGCAGTCGACTAGTACCAGCTATTCATTCCCAAAGGTGAGCAATGATCTGAATGTGTTACTGCATGGCAGAGGCTTTCCAGGTGAGTATGCCCATATTGCAGGCCTACTCCAAGTCTGGGCTTTTGCAAACTGAACCAGCCGGAACTGGTGTTCTTCTCAGGGTGCGCTCCCGTCCGCAGGAAGGGGAGAGGGGAGAGCCTGTCGAAGAGCGCTTCTTCCGGCCTCACTTCCTACAGGCCCCAGGGGACATGGTGGCTCACGAAGGAAGACTCTGTAGGCTTGACTGCAAGGTACTACCTCACAACTTTACACAGACGTTCTCCCATTTACTTGTGAGCTTCTCAAGATTGATATGTACAGGCCAGAACAAAACCTTGTACTGCTTTGTGTAACTCTCTCACCAGTACAGTATACAGTATATGTCTTTGATCAACTTTACGACTCATGTACTGTACCATTATGTTTACTACTCACAAAATTATATATGCAAATAGATGCAGCATTTTTTCTGTGTATTTAAAATAAAGAAATTAGAAAAGATAGATAGAAAATTATTGTAAGATCAATGCATCATGACCCAGAATCATGGCAATGTGCAGCTTTATATTCTCAAAATTAAAAGTGTGAATTCCAAGGACTTATAGTGTTCTCTTTAACGTCTGTATCACAAAGTTCAGCTGAGTCAAGCTGAAACAGGTTATTCATACTGTTGACCTTGGTTGAAAGAGGAACTAAACTCCTATATTTTAGTTATATGTTTCCTAAACTTTTCTAGGTAAGCGGATTACCAAACCCTGACCTGATGTGGCTACTCAATGGAAAACCAATCCTTCCAGACTTAAACCACAAAATGCTGGTGAGAGAAAATGGAGTTCACTCACTCCTTATCGACCCACTGATGCAGAGTGATGCTGGAACTTACACATGTATTGCAACCAACAAAGCAGGACAAAACTCCTTTAGCCTGGAATTAAGTGTTGTAGGTAAGACATCCTGTTGAAATCTGTAACTTTCAGACAGTACTGTAGCAGGGAAATTCCTATTTCCCAATCTTTCATCTTGCTGATACAAATTATACTTTGTATTCTCAAGCAAACAATATAAAAGAGTCTTTTAAATAGAACAGAAAAAATGTTTCAATCATTAGTAGTAACCAGGCAGCATTATGCTTCAGAGGCACATAGTAACCAAAAGTGGTAAATATTAGGGCTTTTTTCCCTTCATGAAAAAGATGGAATGCACAGTCTACAGGGTCAAGCTTAGTTCTTTTCCTCTGTGTTGAGTGGTGTAGCCACAGTGATCAATTACAAGTATTACTGTACACTGTGCTCAACATTAACTCGAGATCATTGAATTTAATATGCCCAAGTGTTGTTGGGGTGTCTCACAAGCTTCTCTGGGATTAGATATTTAAACTGTCCCTACAGCAAAGGAGGTGAAAAAAGCTCCAGTGTTCCTGGAGAAGCTGCAGAACACAGGAATCCCAGAGGGAAGCCCAGTGAGGCTGGAATGCAGAGTGGTGGGGATGCCACCCCCAGCTATATACTGGAAGAAAGACAATGATACAATCCCTGCCAGCAAGGAACGAATGAGGTGAGCAGTACAGACTACTTTGTGGCTCTCCACGTTTGCCATTCTTGTAAAACTGGGATTTGCAATGGGAATGTTTTGTATATATAAACCATATGTACATATTTTATTTTTCCACCACAACAATAACAATTGTTGTACAATAGCTGGTTATATATATATATTTTTAATTCCCCTCTCTTCCATTTCCTGTCTCGAAAAAGAAATGGGTACTATCTTTGAAATGGTATATTCCGTCACGGTTGTCTGAAAATTCAACCAAAATCAACATTTCAACCATGTCATACTGGAAATGCAAAGACAATATTAAAATTATCTGGCACGCTACCATCACTTGTGTTAGCAAAACAATCAAATGGGACATTTCACAGCTACCACTAACCTCGCATCAGTGGTGCTGCCTACTTTAATTGAAAGCAATTTAACACAAGAAAAATAATTATAGAATGATTTGTCCTGGAAGAGTCTACTGTACATCATGGACCGTGTTTCTTAAAGACCATGTAGGCTAAGTTTATGGTATGAGTATAAATATAAGTACAGTACATGGCACAATTTAAGGTGCATAGTTCTACATATACTTGGATTCAAAAGTTTAATTTTTTCCTTCTAATTTTAAGGTGAAGATTACAGAACATACTGTATGTATGAAAATGACTTTCATTTGTTGCTACAGATTCTAATACTGGAAATTTATGTTTTAATCCCAGCATGCATCAAGATGCCACAGGATATGTTTGTCTGCAGATTCAGCCAACCAGGAAAGAGGACGCTGGTTGGTACACAGTATCAGCTAAAAATGAAGCAGGGATAGTATCATGCACTGCCAGGCTAGACATATATGGTAAGAAAATGACAGCTTAGTATTACTCAGAAGTCTCTGTATCTATCATCTAACAACAATACTCATGTTTTCAAGTGTGTACCAATTGCATATTTATGATTCTACTTCGGTAAAAGCAAACAAAAGAATTTAAAAGATTTTTATTAATGTATATTTAATGTAGATTTTGAGTCTTCTATTTTATTTTCAGATTTCTTGCCAATCTCTGTAATCTCAGGAACATTATAAATCATCATTATACAAACGAAAATGATTTAATTTTATTTTTAGTTTGAACTGAAAAAAAGTAAAAGTATTCATAGTAAAAGTGTATTACAAGTCTTAACATGAAAAAAAAAAACGAATATAATTGTTCCAATTTTGGGTGGTCTCAGAGTGTGGCTAACAATATCTGATTACAGGACTGGTATAAATTAATCAAAAGTAAGGAAATATACCGCACTTAAAGCGCTTATAGATTTCACGACTTCTTTATAATAATGTCAGGGTGCTCTTAAAACTAAAAATAAATGCAGTTATCCTTTATTCTAAACTTTACTGAAAAAAAACAGAAACATAACAGTAAACACTGCTGTTTTTTGACAATCTTAAATCTAAATTTAATTCAATAATGTGATCCCACAATTAGAGCCAAAGTAATAACTAAGCAATAGAAATCGAATTGGTACAAGTTTCCAGATCATAAAAAAAACTGAAAAAAAATATTTAGATTGAACAGTCAACAGTTGTCACAAAGAACCTTGCACTTCTAAAGATGATTTATAGTTTTTTTTTTCAAATAGCACTAATGAAATAAGAATTCCTTTCTGATTAATTATACATAGTTCTTAGTCTTCACGATTTGTTCCCGTAAATGGGCAGTGAACATCTAATCGGTATTGCTGATTGTATGTCATGAAGGCAAGATAAAAAATAGCTAACATAAGTACTGTAAAACATTAAGATAACATTTAATTTACATTTAATTTATTTTTAAAATAATATTCACCATAAGTTTTACATTTCTGAGCTGTCTTAGTACATCCAAAACAGTAGAACAGTAGAGAAACAGCAGAGAAAACAGGTTGCCAAATCTACTCCATTGTATAGTACTACTGTCAGTACTGATTAAACCGAATCGTGCATATTAAGATTTGTGTTATTTAAAAGTGTACGCTTTTGACGTTTTAAGTATAAAAAGAAATAGTCTTATTATTCTGCTTTTCACTATTTTTAGCAAAAAGATTTCACAATCAACAATCGGGGATTCCAAAATTTTAGCAGGCACATTTCTCTAACTCATTTTAACTTCCTTATACAGTACTTGCACAACTACTGCGCAATTATCAAAACCTTCTCTCGCTTACCTTGTGTGCGTGGTACGCTCCTTGAAAACACAAGCCGGCTCTGACTGCATAAAACTAATTAAAATTGACGTTGATGCTGACCAATAGTATCTTAATTAACACCCTTAATACAACGTATATTATCACATGCAGACAGTTCAGAGGTGTCCACTACATGTAAATAATTGCATTGTAAACATTTTTATTTATTTACAAATCAGTTTGTCGTGAGCGCCACAAATCCCACTGATATCCACATTTGAGAAGTGCTGGTCTAATACTTCCTGCGTTGGCATTGCATGCTCTTTATTGTTGTGATTTGCTGTCTAATAAATGTACCATTGGACGGGGGAAAAGAAGCTTGTTTGCAACCATGCAGACCGAAACTGAAGGCTGGGATTTCTAGAGGCTGCACAAACCGTCATAAAATAAAATAAGCTGTTACTGTGAAAGACTAGTTACAAACTCGACAGTGAAGCATTTTCCACTTTTTTTGGCTGGAGCAGTACAGAGACCTCTAGTGGATGGCTGGAAAAAGTCTGTGGTTTGCTATACTACAATATTGCCGGTTTCCAACTTAATGTTCTAATTTTTTTAAATAAATTTAAGATTCATAGACAGACCATAGATGATCAAATACACTAACACGAAGAAAACACGGGAAAATCATTTAGCATGTACAAAATAACTTGATAACTTGAGAAAACGAAAAATAACGATGCAGTGCTGTTTGTAAAGATACTGTACATACAAAGTTAATATTTTACAATATACTTTACAAAAAACATAAACATAAAGTGTACAAATACAAAAACATGGGTGGCATGACCTCTATCACAACTCATCTCCTCGGACATCTATCACACAACTGCTAACTACTCAGAAGAAAAACAAAGGTCAACTACTGTTATTGATGTGATGTCGACTTCTGAAACAAACATTAGAGTGAGAGTGAGACATACTGTATGGATATTTGCATTTGTTTCCTATTAATGTAGATTTTAAGAAAGAGTAACTAGATTTACATCTACTGCAATAAACCGTATTGATCGCAATTTCACCGCAGAGGCTTACTAACTTTCTAAAACTATGTACCTTTACAACACCAAACTGTCAATCTTGTGATATTTAATGCCCTATTGACAGACTGCCTGAGCACAGTTTGCATATTTTGTGGAACCCTGTTGTCAGCATGTATTTTTTTCTAAATGGTGGTATGTTCTGCCCAGCCTCTGCTTCTGAGAGCTGCTGCGTCAGTGGACTCTTTAGAGATACAGGTGTCCTTAACTCTTCCAGGCTGTTTCTTCACAGAGCCGTTCACCTACTGTACATGTGGACTTCACTTAACATTTTTAATTGCCATGCTTTAGGTTTTGCGTCACGGGTCTCTCTTTCTTTTTCTCACGACCTCTTGATGTTTTCTGTTCTGCCTTTAAACTAACTCTTGAACAGCTGCCTTTTTGTCTGACTGACCTTTACTTTAACGGATTTGGGCAGGACTGCTTTGCCACCTCTGTCGTCCCGCCTAGGCTATGTTCAGTCCCATCACTGACCCTTCTTTGTCTTTCGTTTCTTCCCTGCCACACACTCCGAAATTGCTCTAATATTACGTCTGGAGAAGCGCTCCAGAAAGACGGTAAGACAATTGTTCAGTGAAAAAATGCTAACTTCTTTCACGTCAACCCCTTTCTTTCCCGTTGTCGACCGCAGCCCAGTGGCACCAGCAGATCCCACAGCCGATGAGGAAAGTGCGACCGTCGGGTAGCCGGTACGCCGCGCTCACAGGTCAGGGACTGGACATCATGTCGGCTTTCCCCACGGTGGACAACAGCCCTATTTTGTTTACGTCCACCCCCGCTGAGGCAGCCCTGGAGAGTGAGGAGCTTTGAAGAGAAAATTGATTTTAATAGGAGACATGAGAAACATGAGCAGAGAGGGTGAATGGCCAAGCAAGACTCTATGGTTTACAAGCAACCTGTTAGTAGTACGTTGACTTTTGCTGTGACGTGTTGCAAATAGGAAAAGTAAGCACAGTTTCCTAGAATTGTATCGTTTATAATACCTTTTTTAAATAAAGCTTATGGCATGTACACATCATCAACCGAATCCAAATATAAGGTGGTAGGAATGTTTTCTTTAGATGATAAAGAGTCTTGGCATTAAAAGTTTTTTTTAAAAGTTTGATACATGTAGCTGTGATCTTCAAATTCATTCTGATCCCATATACAGTCGTATGCCTTCCTTATCAAATCTTGCAACCTTCTTCCTGTTTCATGTTTTCTGTTTTCCAGTTTTCTTACCACTTGATGATCTGAGTACAAAATGCCACCAAAATTTGAAAATGTTCACCAGTGATAAAATATACAGTAGTTTACACTGTGTTTGTCTAGGAAATGTAAAGTAACACACATCTACATAAACAATGTGAAGTAAAACATTATTAACACAAACAAAATAATATATACACAAAAAAATAATTTAGCATGCTTTTTGGTACCCTGTTTTCTTAGTTTGAAGCCAACTGCTTGGTCTTGGCAGTTTTAATCCTATTACAACACTACCATAATAACAAATACTATAGTATTTATACTATTTCATTTGTGGGTATTATACTTTTCAGCAGTTTTATTAACATGGGCAGGGAAAATATTAAAAATGTAGACTAAAAAATGATACTCTTGTCACTTTATTTTGATTTGCAATGCTGAAGACCTCCAATACATGATTATCTCTTGTTCATTTTCCAAGTCCTCATCTTCAGCAAACAATTTAAATTATTTTTTCAGTTTAATTTTATGTGTGGTTTAATGTCACTTAAATAAAGGAAAGATTTCACTGAGGAAATCCATGATAGCTTTTGGAGAGCCATTGTGTAAGTTCTCCATGGTGTTTTATGAAAACAAATTCAGATACTGTCAGAACTTGTAATATACTGTAGTTTAATTTAAAAAAAAGTTATGCCTTGTATCCATAGCTGAAAATGTTAATCTTTCTGTGTTTTTGAAAAAAAAAACCCTGCGCTGTTCCAAAGAACCTGTTACAAGTTCTATTGTTTTTTTTTTCATCTTTGAATTTACGTAATGAAAAGTCAAAATAAGTACTCTTGGACGGCATAGAAAATTTAAAGTATTGTTAAGCTAGCTAAGCTATTTTAAATGCAGTGCTGATTATTGTAGGTAAAACACTAAATTTGTGTTCACAGTTTAGGAACTCTAGGACTTTATACCCTGCTTTTTTCTTTATTACCAAAATATTGTTAAAAATAAGGATTTTCTACAAATATTCTACCAAAGGTGCACTTCAGTAATATTATATACTGTATTAGAGCAAAACTAAGCTCTAATATATATGGAATATGAATTATTATTTTTACTGTTTTAGGAGCAGACAGTCTTGTTCATCAAGGAAATAACACCACATTTCTGAAAAGTTAGGTGTTGTACAGTATTTACAGCAAACACTCCGTCTATTTGTGATGATGCTTTAAAAGAACAAATTTATTATTTTATTCTGTGCTGTGTGAAATTCAGTAATGCCTTTATAGTGGTCATGAAAATCCACTATAAAATAAAAATCTGAGTTGTTTTTTACGCAAATTAAATTGTTCTGTTTAAATATTCACTATGCTAAATGGTAACAGAATTTCACACATTAAAGCATTTACAATGGTTCCTAGAAAGAACAGTTACTTTCAGCAAAAAATCAACATTTTCCTTACTTCAGTTAAATATGGTTTTAAAGCAAGGGAACATATACAGTACAATGTTATCTTTACAACAGTTTAGGAAGAACAAACACATAAATACAGTACAGGACTATAATAGACAGAGTTGCGTAGATTTTGCTTAATTTTTTGAGTTTACAGTGTCTTTCAATATGTACACTTAAGCATTTATTATATGGTACAACAGAATGAATGTTTGGCTTTCAAGCAAAGGTTTTGTTAATGTAAAATTGCACCTGTTGTAAGAAAGAAAATGGACTGTTTTATTTTTATTTTTTCTGTGAATAAAGTTATATTTATTCCAAAAGATGCTAGTATCATTTAATGTACTTGTATGAGATTGTCAACTGAATGACCTTTTTATTTGAATTACAGTTATTTATCGGGAGCAAAAAAAGAAAAGACATTCAAGAGAAACATGAAAAGAGTCTCTTTTCATCTTTTGTTCTGAAAACAAAATACTTGGCAGCCAACAACTAACCTAAAAATAAATGCTGGAGGTCAAGATCGATAATCTGCTGGTGTGTTTATTACAATCTCCAAGTCTGATCTTCCCAGATTTCTGACACTACGTAGGGAGACCTCCAGGGAAAAGCTGGTTGCTGCTGTAAGCAGTGCTGGTAGGCCAGTATGTGGCACTCTATTCTATCGACCATAATTTACAAACCACATCAAACTGAAGCCCTAACTACTTGATTGATAAAAATCCAGTGCACTGTACAGTATGTAAGAGTAGGGATGATAACCCTGATGTGCTGACTAAATTCCACTCGTGTTTCCCCTTAATTTAACCGGTAAAACATTTTTTTCACTTCTCCACTAAACCTGTTATATACTGCGCAGGGGAGTGCTGTATTTCTGTGGAATATTATATGGGTCCTCTTCAGTATGTAAGTGCCTCAGGACCCTTTGGGATGAAGAACACTATACAGTACTTTCTGAGGAATTATTATTGTTTAAAATTTAAAGGGAAATTTAAAAACACGTTTTGGCTCAATGTGTCTGGCTGACCTGGGGGTCAGCTGATATTTTTAAATATTCTGTGTATGCGTTTGTGATATAGGTTTATCTACAGTAAATATACTGAGAATCAGAAGAAACCTATGACCGTGTTCTTCAATGTTTTAGAAAAAATGAATTATACAGATTTTGGATAGTGATTAAATTAGTTGACATTTTGATTTCTAACCTGATAAGATTTTACAGCCTAATGTCGTCTGTCAATGATAGACCATGATCTGGAAGACCACCAAGATGAATGTGGAGGTTCAAGTGTGACAGTCTGGCCAGGAGTGTCCAGTGACTAAGAACTCCATCTGTAGTGATTGAGAGCCACTCGACTGCACAGCACTACACTGATCAAGCCTGGGACTCTGCTTGCTACTCTTGCTATGGGCTCATACTGACACTACAACTTTACAGAAGGACAATGCAGATCCTCAGGTTGCTTGTGTAAAAATGATTTTAATGAGTGTTCTGCCTGACTTGGCCCCCGATTACATATAGTATGTGAGAGGATCTTTGATGATGTACTATATTATCTCTAGGGCTCAGAGACCGGTGGATATGCTTATATATGGTTGTGTATCACATTGTAATAGAATAAAAGTTTTGGTTTTGTAGGTGATTTGTGAATGATTTTTTTTTTTACAGTTAGTCATCCAGAGGGTTTCCTTTGCCAGGTTCAGTCCCTGTTGACATCCCAAATCAAATTTAAGTTCCACTTCAGCCTAGTTCCAAAGATATTTGGAGTAAGATGATTACTGCTATAATACAGCCTCCAGTGTTGTTAACATTTGAAAAAAATGTTTTATTTTTTTAATAAACAAATATTATTAAAATGTATTATACAACGTATAAGTTGAACATGTGTTCCATTCATGATTTAGTTTGCTTGTCTTTGTGGAGTTGCAGCTACATGTAGACTATAAACCTTCCTATTATTCACAAGCAGGGTCTGTTGTCTTTAGATAAAAATATTTCTTTTCAAATTTTTAAACAAAGAAGTGTCCCAGAATGCATTTTTTCACAAGATTTTTGGAAAACAAGCCCAAAATAACTAGTTCAGAAGAGAACCCTTTTCATTCAACCAGATAAGAAAGGTTAAAAAGGTTACAGGGCTCATTAGAGTAATTAAGAATGACAAAACTTGACACAGCACAATTGCACATTAATTGCAGAAGACAATCTTATTTTCTGCTGTTGAAGTCCTTAAGGAACACAATGTTAATGCATTGTGACTTACAGGGCAGAATTCAAATAAAATCTTCAACTTACATATGAGACCACCACTCATTGGTAGTTCTAGTGTAGGCTAGACATAAGAAGCCTCTAGGAAACGGAAAGCAGCAGTTGAGTTCTAATTCACTGGCCATCAGAACAAAATTTAATTTAACTCAGATCACATCTAAACTACATTGAACTATTAATGGTCTACTGGTATTAACCAAATACTTTCTTAATAAACCTTATGTAACTTATACAGAAACAAAGTTCCAATCTATTATGTAAACCTGAGTATAAAACACAAAAAAGCCATTTATGTGTTTCATTTTAAACACGTTAACCTTTGACCTTGACCTTTAAACTTTGGCTTTGCAGCACAAGTGCACCTGCTGCCATCAAGTTCTCTGTATGTCTGATAACTTCATGGGAAATCAAAGTTTTTTAAACCAAATCTGAGAAAACAAGAACATATACATATCTTTTTTATGTTCAAGATCATTTGGTTCAATTTTTTTATATAGTAAAATGGAAATATAGATTTCATGTACATAACACCACCATATTTTATTACAAGTAAACACCAGATATCTTATGATAAAAAGCAGTATTTAATATTGCTTTTCTAAATAGATCAACAGTGTCTCTGTAGCAATGTTTGCATCACTGTGTATTCAGATATATTATTATCTATATATATTATCCCTTAGGACTGAAGAACATTCATAAGGGAACAAATGGACACACCATGAAATGAACATGTTACAAAGCATTTTTATTCTGATAGATGTTAAGCAAATTTATTTCAAAAAATAAATTACAAAAATAAAAAATTCCCAGTTAACCTTTCAAAACCTAAACACTTTATGCAGCATTGTCATAATACTTCATGAAATTACACATTTACAAAAAGTAAAGCTACGTAATGCATTTGTACTTGTTTTAAAACTTACAAAGTTCAGTGTACAAGGTCTGATAAAGCAGTGATAAAGAACAGGGAACATTTTGAATTTAACATTTACTGGATTATTATTCATTATTCAGTCCTTAATAATGGATACAAATCTACACTCCACAATTATATATTCTTTGCCTGATAAGACATTACATACAGTATGTGTACCCAGTAAATACATATATTATTATGAACTTAAAGAGAGATTCCTCTAAGAATATATTTTAGTACTCGGCATAGTACAGGCAAGTTAATTCCCCGTGCCAAGTTGCTTTTCTGGGTGGTAGAGTAGTTGTTCTGATGCTAAATTCCTTAAAACAAAAGTAATATTGACAACCACGACACAGTTCAAGTTAACAAAATGTGTTACCCATGTAGTATATACATATATTTTTAAAAGTAACCACATTTTATCACTTGGCATTGTCCAAACAACAAATTAGAATCACTGCTGTGTGAAACTCAAATACATGATAATTACTGAGCAGTGAAGGTAGCTCTAGAGGTTTATGAAATCTACTCTAGCCTTAAGGTAATATTAAATGCTTTGAAAAGTCTTAACAATACCTTCATTACAGAATTTTACTAATTAAGGCTATAGAAATACATGTATGAACTAAAGTACCTGTACATATTGTATATTTCATATTATAGTATATGTATATTACATAATATTGCAAATTTACTGTGCCTGTATTTATACAAATAATTAACACTTGGAACAGTCCATAACTTGGCAGAATTCAAGTGGATTAATCCAAAAAGATTTTAACAAAATATAATACAAATGTATTTACCAACTTTTCAAAATAAAAAAATGCAGTCCCGGCATAAAAATAAAAAAAGCTCCCACATAACCTAACACCTAGATAGATACTGTATGACATATTGGTCATGAGCAAATCTATTATTTACTCATCAGGTGGCTTTTAATTTGTGACCTGGTAGGTGTCACACTGGTATGGGAAGGCAGAGTGCACGTATTCTTCATTACCTGCAGAGCTCTGCTCCAGGTAGGTGCTGTAGCTCTCTGCTTGAAAATGCTCAATGTGCAGGTCCAGCCACTGCCTCTGGGAAGTGCTGTGCCGCTGGGCATCAGTGAGGATGCGGTTGAGGGCCATGATGTAGCTCAGGGCCATCTGCAGTGTCTCGTACTTGGACAGCTTCTTGTCCTGGCCCCACTGGGGGACCACTTTGCGCAGGCGGTCGAAGGCAGTGTTCAGGCCCTGCATCCTCTTCCTCTCCCGGGCATTGGCTGCCATTCTCCTCCGTGCAGCATTCTCCTGTTTCTCAGAGCACTTGGAGTCCGAGTCGGAGCCAGAATCAGCACAGCTTGACGGCCTGCAGGACTTCATGATCTGCTTGATCACGCCCCAGTTCCAGATCCCCTATGAAAGTGTATTCTTTAGACGCTGGGAGGCTTCTCGAGACACGAGCTTGGAATTCAGTGTCAGTTCCGCCGATCTAAGGATGCAGCACAATCCCTTTTAATTTTCTGTGATGGGTCACAAAGAAAGTGCCTCTAGATCTGTTGCAGGTAGTTCTCAAGGTTCTCAAAGCTCCTGCATTGTGAAGATATTTCTGGCAGATTGTGCTCTTAAAAATTGCAGCTCTGCGTAGTCGTTCAGCACGAGGAGAGAGAACTCGATTCACACAGGTCTGGCTGCTTTGGATGGAGACTTGTGTTAACTCCACAATATCTGGACTCATCTGCCTCTCTCAGACTCAGTGAGACTCTGTTCTTTGGTACTGGGGAAGCAGAGGCTTTTATAGCAAAGGATAGGGAGGCGAACAGGTGGCAGCAGGTGGAGAAGCTTCCCTCTGCTCCCTATCCCGGAAAACAGCATCGCTCCCTGGGAAACAAAAAAAAAATCCTAATGAAGTCCCAATGAACACAGCCTTCATCTGCCTAAAAACTGCATTCACAGCCATGCATTTCTGACACTGACACCATACCATCTGGTCCAGGGTTAGAACCCTTTAAAAATCATCATAAACAGGCAGCAGAATGTGGAAATATTTTACTAAGCTAATCCTTAACACTCTAAACAACAAAATCCATCTCTTTTTATCCTGCAATGTCACATTTCCATGCATGTTCCGATAATTGGTCCACATAATTTATTCCCCTGGAAATAATTTTAATATATGCAGAGAATTAGGTGGATTAAAAGAGATTGTGGTGCTGTTGGAATATGACTTGCCTGAACGCATCAGCTATTCATTTTAAAGAATTTTAATGAAACACCTCATCTCAGGCTAGTGAAATGAGGTTACATTTTGATAAATCATCCTGCTCATTTTGCACAGTAATTATCACAATGCAAAACAACTTTAAAGACAATAATCTCTTTTTAGTGAGATAAAATCAGAGTCTTGCTACAAAACATCAAAAGAAGGTTCTATTAAAACATTAACAAGCAGGTTTGAATAATAATAAGCTAACAAAATATTATAATTTGTTTTGTTTGTATCTGTGTTTGGATGCAGAAAAATGTTGCTCAAGAAAAGTATGCCAGAGTCAAGTTAATATAAACATAGGTGAATATAGTTTATTAATATGTTCAAACACATGGGTTTCCTGAAGAATAAGTAGTTTTTAGATTTTCTTTACTTTTTTTCCTCTATCTGAAATTGTCTTATTAATTGATTTATCAAACCCAAAGAGAGGATTATCCTTCCCTTAGTAAAGAACAATAGACTGAGATTATGTCTGTGATAACAATGGCTCATAATTGAACTCCACTGTACACTTGTGACAGATGTCAAGTGCCAAGAAAAGCTTCCTGTAATTAATGTGCTGTCAATTCCTATGATGGTTTTCTAATGTCACCTACTGTAGCTGCCACCCATTAGCTTGTATTCCCCTTTCATAGCTTTTGAATCGAGGATTTAAATGACATTCTAGGCTTTTAAATGTAAAACACTAAAAGTAGAACAGGTACACAATGTAGAGAATTTGCTTATTCTTGAATATTAATTTACTTAGTACTTTATTCTGTGATACTCTATTTGGAGTTAGTTGATGTGTAGTTGATAATTTTAGAATGATGACTAGTAAAGTTGCCCAAGGGATAAAGATTTTATTTGGTTAATTTCTGGATTACTACAGTATTCTCAAGTGAAACAGGGTAGAATAACTTGACAACTGCAAAGAGGACCTGTACACAAAAGTAGAACTTGATAAAATAGCAATTAACAGCATGCTTAATACTTTTTCATGTAATCTGTTCAAGACACCATCCACAAAACAATTCACTCACATGCACTTCAAGACCGGCAGATATACATCAGGAAGGTATTTATAAATAAGGTATTTATATGAATACAATTAATTTGTATATAGATACTGACAAATGCTCAAATGTATTTTCATGTTTGAAGAATCGTCAATAAACAATACTGTATGTTCTTGTGTTTGTGCACAAATGATGGTGGATATTAAGGAGGAGCCAAATGCAAAAATGTGACAATGACAAATTGATAATACCCTTTGACATTATAGTGTGGAACAATCTTAGCTCTCTAGCAAAACACTAATGTTGTTGCTGTTGAAATACAATTGATTTTATCAATGCACCAGACTGCATAACTGGTTGAGATGATTTGAGCCCCATGCTCTGAAGCACACAGCTGCATGAGTAAAGGATCCTAAAGAAGAAAAAGGTCGAAATGCTGAAGACATTGTGGTCTCCTGACCTGAATCCAACTGAACTGTTTTAGGTGAATTTGAACGATTTTGTGGCTGCTGAGAAATCCCAATGTGACCCCAATCACCCCCAATTCAAAAAAAAGTTTGGATTCAAGCATAAAGAAACAGTATCCGTGAAAGATAGCAGCAGAAAGACAGTGATAGTGGTTTCTCATCCACACTTCAAATACCTTATGTGTGTACTCCACAATACTTTATATAACTTAATAAAGATAAAGCATAATGTTTTACTGATGTATTCATCAATTTGATTACTTTATTTTATTTGATTTACTATATTTATTTTGCTTACTTTATGTACAAAGATGAATGTATTTATCTTTGGCAGTATACTGGCATTTTGAAACATAAGGAGGACAGCTGAAAGAGCATCTGTTATTTTTAGCCTTATTATTTAAAGCCTACCATGTCATCAGCAACAGGTTTCACAGTTTATATCTGCAAGCCTTCATACCCTACTGAGTTCTTCTCTAGACCGAGATACCTTTGTACAGGCTAGCATGTGGTAAACAGTCCTGCTCTCCAGCATATGGGAAGGTTCACACAAAACCGAACAGTCCCACATGCACCTTTCAAACTATTGTTAGGAATTGCTAATAAGGAAAAGGATCATTGCCTTAGGAATGCCATGTTAGAAGAGATTATTCTGCACGTTAATATTGCTTTTGAAAAACTCAGATAAAAGATATTTTAAAAAACAATATTTAAATTACCAAATAAGAAGCACATGATGATTCCTCAAAATATTTTGTATGAAGGCCATTACTTACCTTCCAGTGCATTACTACAGATGCACCATCCCCCCAAAAAAATAATTAATGTGGTATCTCGTAATATTGAGAAAATGATCTTGTTATTACAAGATAGTAGATTGTCTTATAATTATGAGATACTAATGATCATGTGAGTGTGTGAACAACCTAAACAACGTAGAAGCTACCGAGAGCTCATCTGGAACTTTGGGTTTAGTGCTTGCAACAACGTCCGATGCTGCAGAATGTGTATGGACTTACTGAACTTTTGCATGGGATTTCATAATGAAATGTTACAATTTGTACCTGATGTGAACCCAATTATTATTATAACCAAGAGGACTCTCACACCTATCCTTAAACAAGAAAGAGTGAACCATGTAATCAATACCACTTCTTAAACCTGAAAGTTAATTAATGTTAAGGTACAGTAGGTATTGTACGACAATTGTGCTATCACATAATGTACTGTCTTGTAATTATGAGATCATTTACTATATTGAAAATATATTAAATATTTTTTATTTGATGGCAGCAGTGCACTTTCATGTATGTATTAACTCAGATCACCAAGATTTTTATCTGTTTGAAAGGATACACATGCATGTGAATTAATAACTATGGTATTAATATAGCATTTAGAGTATTTATATATAGTATTTATAATATAGTATTTATATAATAATAGAATAATAGTATTTGTACATGAACCCATTACAACTATATCGGAAATCAACAGCTGACTCAAGCACAACAATGTCAAAAATGAAGACCTTTGAAAGCATTAAACCACCTTAAACCTAGACCTATACATTTCTTATTAAACTTTTTTGCCATTCTTAATTTATAACTGAATTTAATTGCACAGTTTTATGTAAGACAAAAAATACATTTTCCTGAATGTCATAACAAAATTTTCAGTCCTTTTTTTAACAGAGTGAAACATTACAGATGGAGTATGAAATGACCTTTACAGTTAGAGCTTTAAAAGTTGATATTTAACCTGGCTAACTGAATGACTCTTGAATGGAAAGTTTAAAGTATTACTACATGATGATAGCATCTTTACACCTTGAAAATCAGAATTTAGACAGCACTACTTTAGTGAATACACCCAGTTTATCATCACACAGTGCTGTAAACACAAGGAAGCCTACTGTATGTGATTAGTCTTTTTTTAGATGACCCAATGTTTCTTTTCTCTTAATATTGTCAACGGAAACAAAGTCAGTATTAAGATTCAGTCAGTATTAAGACCACACCTGTCTGGATCAGAAAAGGTGATATCTAGGGTAAGGAGAATGCTTTACTACCATTATCTTCAGGGAAAAAAAAGGACTTTATTTCAAAGTAGTAAAAGGTAATTTAGACATGTGTACACATTTACTTAAAGTAACTGAATAGCTAAAAATAAAAATAGAAAATGTGTGTTTTGAAAGTTTTTTTGTCAATTTTGTCATATTAATTTAAATTGAAATACTGCAAAAGGCATTCAGTGCACCATAGAAGTGAAAACTCTTGTTGTCCAGCTAAGGACAGCATTCGTGTTAACTGAAACCCCTCATTACTGTATCCCACTATGGGGTATTAATTAGTGATCTGTACATGCTGGGCTCTGCATGCATTTAGGACACCAAAATAAATAATTTATCTGTCTGCCTGATACCCAAGGGAATTCAGCAGAGACAGACATGAAATCATTTGTGTAACTGTCTCTCATTCACATCTGTTCCTGGTGCCCAAGACAATAAATGATTAGGAAGTGATAGATGTTGAATAAGAAAACATTGCAGATTGTGTGAGAAGATGGAGCCCATGGAGTTTAATAAAAAGTATAAGTCTGTGTGGAAAAGTATTTTTTTCTTTTCATATCCTGAACATTAGAGTTATCCTAAACTATTACTGTACAGTACTTTAGTCAGTTACCTGATTTTTGTATCTTATTAAAATGTCATATATATTTTTTGCTTTTTACATAACCTATTACTGTAATTTTAATTTTTTATTATATCACATTTATTTACTGTATATACAAAGTACACATATATGTATAAATGTGGCTCTGGACCATCGTTTAAATAAGATTTTTTTTTTCAACTGACCCATCTGTTTAAATAAGGGATTTTAAAAATCCTTTGTTTTACTTTGAAAATATTTCAGAACTTTATGGACATTTTCAGTTTGTCTGAAAGACTGGTTAATTGCAGCCCATTAACTTTCCTGGGTTCACAGGCACAGCGCAAACACACTACAAAACATTGAGACCTCAAAGGTCAAGATACCGAACCCTGCTGTTGCATCACTAAAAGAAGGTTAACAAAATGTTCCTGATTAGGTCATTATTTGCTAGTACACACACTGCTGTCAAGTCATTTTGTCTAGGGAGCGT